TCTTTAAGGATTTAGTGTTTCCCATTGCTTCTTGTTCACGTCTCTTTTAAAGTTGATGGTGAATGCAATCTCCAGTCTGAGATCATGGTTATTCAGGAAGGTAGTGCTGTGCTGTCTGTTGCTCGATTACTTAGCTTTCATTCTTGTGAATTTCCCAATGAACTGCCCGAAGGCATTCTTGTAGGTAAGGGCTTCCCTACTGGAGAGCAAGACCTGCTCTCTGGAGGCCAACTGTAGGGAGGGCTCTGCCATATGGAACTATTCTGACCGCAGGGGTGATTTTGCCTAGGTGGTGCCCCAGTTTCCAGGGATGGCCATGGGGATTTTCCTGGGAAGTGAGCTGAGGTGTTTCAGCAACGCAGCTTTTTAAAACTGTGGGCTGGCATTCTTGGTGGCCTTTTCAGAAGCCAGCAACAATTGGCCAGAGTAGGAGATGCTCGCTGGAACGTCCCTGGGCTGTCCATGCACAAGTCACAGCTGCTCTGGCCAATGGGAAATGAGAGCTAATTTGCTCCAAGGGCCCTAATTGGCTGATGGTGCAATTCTGTGCCTACTATTTCAAGGCTGTGCTTCTAGCCCCAGTTTGGCAGGCTTGCTCCAGACATCTGGCAACAATGATCAGAATGCCTGTTTCTTCAAGGAGGCTCACAATCGATTCATCTATGGACTCACAAGGAAGGGCTCATTTAGTAGAGCCAACATGTTTCAAAGAAAAGTATATTTTCATTAACTAGTCTCAAAGCCGTAATTATATGTTCAGAGAACACAGGAAAAATTTATTTCTAAATATTGGCAGTGAAAGGTTGAAGGCGGTGTGTGCATATGTGTGTGTGTGTGCATGTGTGTGTGTGTCCAACGTGTTGCATGTGTTTTAAATAAACCTAGCGTCTTCCCCTCTAAAAGGAAGCAGGAAATACAATTGTAGACTTTGAAATTTAATTTTTAGCAACAGGATGTGTTTCTAAATACTGCTAATATATCAAAAGGAAAATGTGTAGTTAAAGGCTTTAAAATTGCTATCAAAGCAATTGTGAAGCAAATGAGGTGCCTTTTTTTTTTTTTGAAAGGATGGTGGTGTCTGAACACTGAAAACCAAATTTCAACCAAGGATCAAAAGCAACAGTGGTGTCTATGCATGAGATGCAGCTCAACTTCGATGCTCCCTGATCTGATTCACAGTTTATAATCACAGTTATCACAGAACCATTAAAAGCCTATTAACTTGAATTCCCACAATTCCTTGAGGGCGAGGGCAAAGAGAGAGCAAAATAACTTTGAATGTAAATGCAACACAACGTTGGAAAGGAGAGAATCTCTTTTAATTATGCCAGTGAAGGAAGATGTCTTATGGATGCATCTACCCTAGCAGATGGCTGATGAAAGAATACAACAGGAAGTCTTAGGACGCTGGGGACGTTATAAAAATGATTTTCTCTGCAAAGAGACTGGGAAAGTGTCCGCCCGTTTCAGACCTCCTTCTGGGAGGAGGCAGAGTAGATGACTTGTTAAAATGTGTTAACTGCTCGGTAGGTTGGCTGGACAAACCCTGCTCAGTGTCCAATTGAATCCGCCTGAGAAAGATTCTCAGCCCCATTCGGTGGAAGCAAAAACCTGACAAATATTCAAGCCATTGTCATGAGAGAAATTTGATTTCATGTTTTTTCACCCTTCAGTGCCTTTGCTGACATTTCCCCTAACGATGCTGTTATGTGCCGGACAGTAAGACAGTGCAGTCAATACGCTGTCCTGAGACTTCAGATGAAATGGAGAGTTCTTCGCTCACCACAGAACAATTGGGGGCATCATACAGCAGTGGGCTGTGTGCGTACCAATGACGGAGTCTGTTCCCAAATCTCTCAGCCCACCGCGGTGAGGTACACACCTTTGCATTGGGATGCTGCCCCTAAACGGTCCACACTCACATGCCCCAGGCGAGCTGGACTCAGTCCTCCCCTCGCCTTTGTAAAGGGATATTGGAATCACCTGATGAGGGGAAGTGCTTTCTCTCTGTCCTCTCCTGCACTGATTCTGAAAGAACTAATTCCAATCGATCCACCCTCACCTAAAATAAGGTCTTCCTGCACGAGTTACCTGCATTCACTGCCCAGTTTGCTCTCGTTCCCGCGATGGATAAAGTCAATGGCTTGGTCCAGAGGGAGTGGGTTATTGACGAAGTGCTTAACTAGGCTCACAGCCCTGATGTGGTCATTCTCCTACAGTCAAAACGACTGGACCGTGGCACGGAAGAACCGTGAATCTGGTTTATCTCATTTGCCTGAGCCACAGTTGAATCAATGGGGCAGCAATCTAAATTAAACATTAAGACAAGCACACTGCAGCACGTTTATGTAACTGTGCAGAGAAGCAGCATGTGTCTCAGGTCCTCCAGGGAAAACACTATCCACTTCTCCACTTCCACATCAGGCACACTGAAGATTGGTGTGGTACAGTCTAGAAAGATTTTGAGCGCCTGAGGAAAAACCTTTTAGGTAAATACGATGCAAACTCTTTCAGCCTACTACTTTGGCTTCCAAATCTTTGAAAGTCTAGAGGACAGTGATCATTGTCCGAGGATTAGACCGCAGTGCTTATCTGCAGGTGCAAGATCAAATGTGCCCACGGGGACCCTGAATCCACTGTCCTTTCCTAGGAGGACTGAGGAAGTACTGAACACCGACATGGCCAAGGTGGATCTCACATGCCTCCTGATTCTCTACGGCTGCACTTCTCTCACTTTGATGTGCACATGAATCACCCAGGAGTCTTGTTCAAGTGCAGGTTCTGATTCAGTAGGTCTGGGAAGCCCTGAGACTCTGCATTAATAATAAACTGCCAAGTGATGCCCGGGCTGCTGGTCCAAGGACCACATTTGCAACAGTGAGGCCCTGGTGGGAGAGTTCTCTACCTTACTGTCGACTCAAACATTAGAGGGAGGTAGGGAAAAGAAGACAGCTGATGTTTTGGTGACAAGATAAGTTGGAAGCAAGAGGGGGGAGCAGAAGACCACAAGGAATGATCCAGTTGTCCCTTAAGTGAAGGGATATATCTAGACTGGCTTCAATGCCACATCTGTCTGGTTCCTCCATCAGGGCATCATTGACTGAGCTAATGAGTAGGCGACTGGTGCAGAAGGCAACATTGCAAGACTCGATGCTGTGTATATTTTCTACTTGCCTTTTCAAGGCACGCTCTGTGGGCGGAAATGCCCTGGAATGTGAAGAAGGATCAAGAGCGAGAAAGGACAAATTGATGGTCATCCACGCGATTAACTGAGTTGATGAACCTTGGATCCCTGTAGAGCTGGAGAAAGTGGGGCCTAAAGCCAGAACTCAGCCCAAGTCTGTCTTTTATGACTTTGTCTTCTTATTATCTTTGTAACAAGGCTCTTTTATTAGCTCACAATTTCCTGCCAAGTTGATGAAATCTCCATTATGTTTTATGGTACAAAATAAGAGGATAAAGGAGATTTTAAAAGGCCTACACATCTCTTCTTCGTTCAGGGAAACTGCCTCCTCTGCTTCTCTCCCCGTGTGGGGTAGAGATGAACTTTCCGTCAAGTTCCAAGACCTGTTCATTTTCTCTTCAGCTGAAAAATATATATTTATTTTGCTGTTTTGCTTTACGATTCTGAAGCTGGCTTTTCCCATCTGAGTGCTCTCCATTTGGAACCACACTTGCAATTACCGCTGTCTTTTATTCTATGTTTTTGGAGGACTACCCCGTTCAAACTTTGAGAGGACAAAGCAGCTGCCTTTCCAAGGGGCGAAAACAGTGGCATCAAGTCTCCAAGTAAACCTCAACCAACATGGAAACACAGAAGTGGAAACAGGAACAAAATCTCGACAAGCAGAGAGACGGGCATCAAACTAAATATTTCTGCCTGTCTTTTTCAGAATTTGGGGAAAGAATAAACTTGACATGCCTGCTGCATTTTAGGATGCATCTTATTTCTAAGTGGCTTTTCTTAAAAAAACCAAAGCTCTCACCTGGCTTTTTTGTGTTGTTTCCTCCTGCTGACATTGGCCAGCTGGTCAAGGTCACAGAGGGCAAGGTGTCTGTCCACTGCTCTCCGATTGCCTTGAGGCCCTGAGTGGCCAGCCTTCCACTCCTCCCTCCAACCAGTGCCGTCCTCTAGGCATAAAAGTCATCTTGGTCTCCTTCTAGTTTTCTGAGTGAGCCAAGCTCCTCCCAACATCAGCGCCTCCAACAGCATGTCCATCTGCCTGGAATGCTCTCCCCTCTTCTTTGGCTCCTGCTGTCATTCTTCACTTCATGCTTTCATCACCTTCCTGGTCACCTTTCAGATTCCTTCAGGTCCCTCTGTCATATGCTCTGAGGCACGCTCTCACAATTATGACCTGTCTCTCTCACAATTATGACCAATTATTTGTGTGGTACTGTCTGTCTCCCCACAAGAGAGTCAGCTTCATGAGAACAGCACGATATTTACTGCGTCCTTCACTGTGTCCAGTATAATTTGCTAGATTGCAGCCCTCCTTTGAGTGACCAATTCTCCAAATTATCAATTAACCAAAAGCTTCTCTAGAAACGATTTGAAAAGTTCATAGCAACTCATGTGTCAGCAAGGTTATCAAAAATTCAGTCATTTCAATGACAATGTCTCCCATAATTTGAATTTGGGGTGTCGTGCGTGTTGACAGTGTCAAGTGTTTTTATAAATGTTACTGTGAGTTTCTACCTTTCAACTGAATAAACTTGCAAGTTGTCAAGTTATCCTCTTTGTCTTTCAATTAGTCTTGCTTTTCTTGGTCCAGGAATTGTTTTCTTGAGTGGAAGGGAGAGAGAGGCAGTTAATTTTCCAGAGAGTTTGCAACAGAGGGTAAAACAAAAAAATGTGCCTCACTTTACAGATGCCCGAGTACTTTTCAAGATGGCATGCAAAGGTGTTGTGCATCCATTACAATTGCCATTAGTACCAGATGAATCGTTAACGATAAAAAAGTGCAATTCAGTCACCTCGATTCGGTTGCTGTTTGCAGAAAGAATCCAGATAGTTTACCTTGCAGGGTGAAATGAAAATGTGTTTTATAGTTCAGATGCCTGGGAATTTCTCAGCTGCTCCACATTTTACATGCAGATGGATCGGCTTTCCCCACATGCAAGTTAAGTTGTCCAGGATTTGTGGACATGAATGTGGAGGTGAAACTTTCATTTGCTGGAATGACAAACTGAAGCATCCCTGTGTGCGCAGGGTCTGAGTGTTTGTGGGGGCATCACAGATGGGTGTGGGCATGGGCAGACACACGGTGAAAACATTCCTGCATAGTACCCAAAATTCCACCACCTTCCCTCCTGCAAAAGACAGCAAATCACTAATTAAACAAGGAATGGCATATGGCACTGAAAATGCATGGAAGAGATAGACACATCTACCTTTCATGAAATCCTTAACACTTTGAATGTATAAGATCTAAAAGTCAAAGTGCACGACAACTGTCATGTCAAAACGTGTATTGGGTGAAACAATTTACTATAAACATTGTAGATAGTTCACTGAAAGTAATTTTTAGTTAATCAGTAATTTGGGGGACTGGTCATTGGATGTATTGGCAAAGTCATGATTTACTGTTTATAAAGACTGATTTTGGTGATTGCCTTAGCGCTTTTTGAAAACAGTGCTGACAAATGCTGTCATGCGTCGCTTAATGGCTGGGACACATTCTGAGAAATGCATCATTAGGTGATTTCCTCGTTGTGAGAACATCATAGAGTGTACTGACACAAACCTAGATGGTATAGCCTACTACACACCTGGGCTATATGGTACTAATCCTCTGGGACTGCTCTTATATACGTGGTCCACCATTGACCAAAACGTCGTTATGTGGCGATTGACTGTAGTGGATATTCAGTAAATATTTGTTGAACGAGTGAATAAACATTGCCATGTGCTCATTATTGCCTTCACAGACACTCCCTACCAGGCTGTTTGGACACCGAGTTCCGAGCGGCCCAGCACGTTGAAAGGCACAGGCGGGCTGGCACCTGACCCTCGGGTGCTCTCAGCCCAGTGATTTGAGTGCCCCGGGTGCTATAGGACTCGTTTTCAGAATGGTGGGTCGCAAAGTTCAGCCCAGAAATCCAAACCTCTGAAAATAATAACATCAACAGTGAACAGCCCTACCCCAATCTGTGGCTGGGAAATCCTAGCTGAAGAAAAATTGAATTTCATTTTTCCTGGCTGAGTTTTCTTTATTCGGTTTTAATTTTCTTGGACAAATTTGTTAGAATTTTAAACAATCATTCAAATGGGGAAAACTGGAACACATCTTAACCAGTGATCACATACCTCGTTTAACAGAGCACAAGACGAAGTACAGAGGAGATGCAAAATATATTTAAAAATGAGATTTCAGTTCTACAGGATTTTCTGCTCCATTGTTGGATACAAAGTGAGTGCACATGAAATACCGTGTTGAAAATGGCACTGTTTTTAGGGTTTTAAACTCCAAGTCTTTGGCTCCCCCCTCATTGCTTCACTCTCAGTTTCCGGATGTGGGAGAAGCCGCCTTCCGCACTAGTCCATCCCTTCATTTGTGTAGTGCTGCCTGGCTCCGCTTCTCCTGGCGAGGGCCGCCGGGGGAGGACGTGATGTCGATCATCTGACCCCTAGCTACCAGAGGTCACCGTAGAGAGGGATTGTGGCTAAGAGGTAGGCATTTAGACAAGCCCCGTTTTAAGCAAATTAAAGAAAGGGAATTAAAAGCAATCCTCCTAAAGTCACCACCCAATAATCTAGCAGGGTCAGGGAAGTGCAGCAGAAGGAACACTGTTTGATGCTGGCATTGAACTTGGCCTCAAGATGTCTGGGTTCTAGTTTGGGCTCTGCCACATACTAGCTGTGTGACTGAGGGCAAGTCCCTTCACTTCTCAGAGATTCAGTTTCCTCATCTGTAAATGGAGATAATTACCAAGATCTGCCTCAGTTTCAGTCTGTGTCCCAGCAGGAACCTGATGATCCACTTCAAGACAGAGGAGAGTTTAATGAAGGGTCTCCTCTCAGAGATGTGGGCAGGGTTACGGGACCTGACAAGGGACCAGCAAGAGTGGGAAGCCTTGCCCACCCCTAGGACAAAGGCGCAGGGCAAGGGAGCTGTTAACAGTAAGAGCTGTGGCTGTGGGAAAGGGGCCCTGACCTGAGCGGGGATGTAGGTGGAGGAACACAGCTCCTTCCAAAGTGTAGGCTAGGAGGGAGGGAGCCAGGGGATCAGTCCTTCCACCCAGTGGGCTACAGGGGCCGATGTGTACATTTCTTCCTAACTCCACGTTCACTGATGTTAGTTGCTTAAAAACCATGGTAACAGTATTTACACCATGGAAATGGACAAACACCACTACAAATCAGACTGTTTGTTCCCTAGAGAGCTGGTTGTTACTCATTTACTAGCACACCACTGCCTTGACCTAGCTCCTTTTGTCCTTCCAATTCCCACTGGTTCTTTCTATTAGATGAACCCAACCAGCGCCAAAGGGTGAGGGAACAGGTGATGCAGTCTTGGTATGCCGGGGTCCAAGGCACAGAACAGGGTGGGGATGGTGGAGAAAGAATCAGAGTTGGGGGGGCCGGCCCGGTGGCACAAGCAGTTAAGTGTGTGCGCTCTGCTGCAGCAGCCCTGGGTTCACCGGTTGGGATCCCGGGGGCGCTCTGATGCACCGCTTGTTAAGCCATGCTGTGGCAGCGTCCCATATAAAGTAGAGGAGGATGGGCATGGATGTTAGCCCAGGGCCAGTCTTCCTCGGCAAAGAAGAGGAGGATTGGCATTGGATGTTAGCTCAGGGCTGGTCCTCCTCACACACACAAAAAAGAATCAAAGTGGGGAGTAGACACAAAAGGAAAATAACCAGCACAGCTCTTAGGGTTGTTGTGAAAGTCGTATAAAACGATGAATATAAAATTACTTACTAAACAGTGAAATGATTTCCATATGTGTCCTTCCTGACTTTTACAAAAGTACTTTACGGTTTACAAAGTACTTTTACGGGGTCTACCTCCTTTGCCACCACAATGCTGAGAAGTAGTCAGCACATCTTCTGCTTATCCTTGCCAGAATCAGGAAAATCCAAAGTAAAGATAAGAGAGCATTTTACACCCGTCAGTGTGGCAGAGCCTTTTGGTTTTCCTTGATGTTTGTTCTGTCTCTTTTATGGTGATAGAACCTTCAGCTGGACAATGACCCCACCAGGACAAAGCCTATTTTGCAGCCTCCCTTACATCGAGGGGTGACCATGAGACCAAGTTCTGGCTCACAAGATGAAGTGTTGTTTAGCAGCTGCAAGGACCCTTCCTTAGAAGGAAGCAGCTGAGCCAATGGTGTCCTGAACCAAGGGGCTGGGGTTGGTCCAACATCATGCACCGGGACATGCCCTTTCTCCTCTCCTTCCCTTCCTCCACCCTGCTGCTGCCTGGAACACAGTCGCCCCTGGGCTGGCGGAGTGATGAGAGGTGGGAGGGAGCGTCATCTTGAGGGGTGGTCAGCAGGTAGCAGAAACCCAGGCAGGATTCACTTTTCTCACACAGCTGGGCTGCCTGTTTAGAGCTCCTCAACCCCAAAAGAGGCTGCCCACCATCTTTTCCTCCTCTGCCCTTACCGTGTGACTTTTGGCCTCATGGTTGCAAGAGGACTGCTCCACCTCAGGCATTACGTCTAGGAGCCCACCTCTCTGGGCCATCAATGCTGGTGGGAGGAGAGGTGCCATATCACTAACACGGTGACTCTTGTTACAACACCCAGGTCGATGATTAGGGGATGAAGAGGTTGGGGACACAATTTCCTGGTAAAAGAGAGAGTGGGACAGATTCTTCTGTAGATGTTTACTCTTATTCTCACATGGAATAGACAAGAGAATTGTCAAGACACAGCATTTAAAAGAACGAGAAAGAAAGAAAGAGAAGCAGGAATCACACTACTGAGTAGAAGTTAGGCAAGACTTGAGTGTCCAGGCTGGAGAGAAAGGCCAGCTTTCTCCACAGCCTGGGCGAGACCAGGTGGCCCCTGGGAAGGCTCGAGAGCTCTGGAGCTGTCCCACGACCCGGTGCCCCGTCCATTGGCTACACGACCTTTGTTTCCTCATTTGTAAATGCTGAAGGGTGTCGTGGAGAAGAAATAAAATAAAAACATGTGTAAGGGTTAGTTTAGCACAGCACCTGGCATTCAAAAATTATTCACGAATGTTGCTCCCTTGTGGCCTCGACGGTATGCAGGTAGGTGAGTGCTCCATGAGTGAGTCCCTCTGGTTGGATCTGAGCTGGGAGACAGAGGCAGCCGTGGAAGGAACAGGGAAGGAGGCTTGGGTCCTGGGCGAGGCAATGCCACTGATGAGGACAAGGTCATCCTCAGCCCAGATTTAATTTACTTCTCTGAAAACTAAGAGGTTGGGACAGATGGTTACCATGGGGACATCTAACTCAAATATCATCAGTTCGAGGATTTAGAGGGTACAAAAAGTCTGCCATTATCTCTAGACAGTCTCGTCCTCACCTGTCTGACCTGTTTGTGGGGCTTCCTCAGCTGGGACCTGGTGGCTCTCTGCCTCACGCACTGGGGAGCCACAGCTGCAAGGCAGCAGCGTAGGAGCCCTCAGGGGGCTGAAAGACCCGCACCCCTACCCATTGTGATGGGGGCTCTGATTCCATGACAACCATGGGCACTCCCAGAGCCCCCTCCTGGTTGAGGCTGAGAATTAAAGATCAGGAAGAAGGAGGAGGAGTGGCTTCCTGGATGCGTAGAGCTTAGGAGGCAATGGAGAGGTAAAGGAGCCAGCCTCAGCCACCTTCAGCTTCCTGCAGTAAATGGCCAAAGGGAGACGCTTCAATCCGCCTTTAGACAAGGATGGAAGATGGGTAAGTAAGATGGTGCCCTCTCTTACCTTTCTCAGGCCACAGGGGTGTGGTCGGGGGCACAGAGTGAGTTCAGATCCTGCTGCCACTACATACTGTAGCATGACTTTTGACAAATCACTTGGTCTGTGAAATGGGACTCTCGTGGCATTCTTGGGATGATTAAGTGAAATGACGTGTGTGTGACACTGGCACCTTGTGAGCATCCACCAGGCAGTATTGCTGTGTGCTCTACTTTTTCTTTTTTCTGTAGCATCTGTCTGCTAACATCCTGTATAACTTGGGATATTATGTGTGTGGTTTGTCTCCCCCTACTAGATTACAAACTCCACGGGGGCTGGGATCCTTGTCTTTTTTGTTAACTGCTTGTATCCCGAGTGCATAGGAGAGGATCTGGCACACAGGAGGTGCTCAATAAAAATTTGTTGAAGGAATTCATATTACACTAGAAACCTCTAAACACATTCCTGTTGGCTCACAATCTGATCCCCTTAGTCTCACCACACTGTGAAATAGAAGAGACAGGGAATGCGTCATTTAGCCATCTTGATCATTAGACAACTTTCCCCTTTCGGCTTCACACTCTTCCTCATACCCCTCTCTCATGGTATCGCTTACAAAGCCTTGTGGGATTACCACTACCCTGGCATCTTTAAGAAACATTTGCTTCCCACCTAAGTGTGAGGTCCCAGTCCTGCCACAGCCAGGCACCACTATTGTTTGTTCTCTAACGTGTATATTTCATGTGTTGACAGGTCTTTTCGATTTCTGCTTTCTACAGTTCATTCCAAAAGGAATGTAAGGGGGATCGCAGCAGTAGCCTGTTGCCTGCACCCTCCCTGACACTCACAATGAGAGACAGAGTCAGAGAAAGCCGTGGCGCTAACCTCTTTTAGGGCACTAATACATAGAAAGTTAAAAATTTTTTGTTTGTTTAAAGGAAAAATGGAAAACACCTTGGGTCTGAAGGTTTTAAAAAACTGACTGTACCCACCTGGGCATAACTCTGTCTAAGTAGCTTAGTCTTTCTAAATCTCAGTTTCTTTATCTGTTAAATGGGAGCATAATGTGGCCAGGTTAGAGGGTATTATGGGGACTCATGAGATAATTCATACAAAAGTGCTGAGTATAATGCATGGGAATATAGTAACCACTCAATATTTGCTAACTATCATATATACATAATAGGCTTTTTTCGTACACCCTGCTTTTTTCCACAAAGACTTGAAGTAATGTGTGGAAAATATTCACAATAAAATAGTAAAGTATAAATAAAATAAAAATTCAGAACCAGTTTAAATATACTTTAGAATAAGAGGCTCAGACTGGGAACATATATAACATAGATGTACAGGCCATACGGTCTATATAGTAGCTATTTGGGCATCAAATTTGGCTCTGAGTTCCCTGGCAGCCAAAGTAAAATGGAAAATAGTGTGAACTACATAATGTTGATCGGCCATGAAGAGAAAAACATAAGTTTCTCAGACTAAGTAGCTTCACCTCTTCTATCACCTACAATATCAGTTAGAATTGTGTTTGACTGAATACTATAAAAATCTGACTACAGTGTCTTAACCAGACAGAGGTCTATGTTTCTCAAGGAACAATAAATCCAAAAGTAGGGAGTTCAAGGCTGGCACCAATGCTCTAGGGAGTCATCGGAGGCCCAGGTTCTTTTCAGCCTTGTGTTCTGACATCCTTAACGCAGGGCTGTTCAACGCACGCAGGAAAATGAGGGGAAGGTCGAAGGACAAAAAGACACAAGGCCCCTGTCAGCTAAGTCTCCCCCTTATTATGGAGAAACAATAGCTTTCCCAGGAGCCCCGCCCCACCTACTTCTGCCTTCATCTCATCGGGTCACATGTCAATTTAGTTGCAAGGGAGTTTGGGCAGGTATTTTTTAACCAGCCACATTGTCACCCCAAACAAAGTCAGGGTTCTGTTATGAGGGAGGAAGTGAGAATGAACATTGCATCTCTCATTGCAACCCCAGGGATGTGCCCGGGGCCCGGGTTTGGCTGGAGGGACACCAACTCCGAAAGTCTGATGTGAATCTTTGGTGTGCCAGCACCTAAGAGCACAAAAAGAATAGTGCTGATCATGAAGTTTCACAAAGTAACTTGTTGGCGAGTAGGGAAAATGAAAGAAATGGTTGGCTCCGAGTCAGCAGCGGCCCATTTGGGAGGACAGTAATGGCCACATTAGAGGTGACAGTCATTTCGCAGTTGACCTTGCTGGTTGTAATCTGGCTGTTGCCGGGTAGGAAAGGCTTTTTCCACACACTTTCACCTTGCCGTTTAATATTTCAGTCATTGAGTGATTGAATGCAGCAAAAATATCCCCGCCAACGAGTTAAAAAGCTATATTTCACGATTACAATGTCTAACAGAAGGGTTTATTTCACAGCTATCTTATTTTACCCGTTAAATATATATTTTGAAAGAGTGAAATTAAAATGCTAGAGCCATTTTTTTACAGTGATTTAGTCCATAGACTAGCAGAATACAAATGAAGTCAAGTCAGTTGTCACTTAGCTGGTGAGAGGGATCATCTGTGATGTTAGGACAGCTCCCCACCCCAGCCTGATTTTCCATAGCTTCCTGGGCAGGAGTGTTGATGCCGTCAGATGGGAAGAAGAGAGAAGGGAAAGGTTGTGAGTCTGGAGGCTCTTTGTATTAGCTATATTTACTTTAAAAAATAATTGTTTAAAAAGGGTCTAAAAATATACAGGATGAATTAGAAATATATAGGTTGACTTTGAAAAATGTCTTGGGTATATTGTTAAGTGGGAAAGCAAGGTACAAAACAGTATGTCTCCTCTGGTCCAATTTTGTGAAGCAGTGTAAGTTCCCTCTGCAGGTACAGAGGTTTGTGTGTCTGATCATATGAACACTCAGTTGTTAATGTTGTTACCTGGGGCGGCAGTGGGGGTGACAAGAAGGGGAAGGAGAAAATAACCCAAAGTTACTGTTAAATAAAAAGGTATTTATAATTTTTAGAAATCACATTTATAATATGATCCTATGTATGCAAAATTATCCACCTATATTGGTGTACATTGGCATAGGAGTGTATGAAAAAGATGGTCACCGAACAGTTAAGGGGAAGGGGCGATAGGATTTCAGGGGAATTTTACTTCCTTCCTATGTTTTTCTTTACTGTTTGAATTTTTTAAAACCACAAATATGTATTACAACTCTAGTCAGAAGCAAAATACAATTATTTTTTGCTGTGGTCAAAAAGACAATGTAATAGAAGCACTTAGTTAAGAAACACTTAAAGGGGGCCTGGCCCAGTAGCTCCACTTTGGTGGCCCGGGGTTCACAGGTTCGGATCCTTGGCAGGGACCAAGGCACTGCTTGTCAAGCCATGCTGTGGCGGCATCTCATATAAAGTAGAGGGAGATGGTCATGGCTGTTAGCCCAGGGCCAATCTTCCTCACACACACACACACAAAAAACCACTTAGAGAGTGGACAATGATCATGAAAAGAGTCTTCCTCCTTCTCTGCTCCCCTTCTCCCGGGAAGAACGTTCAGTTCCCACCCATCCTGCTGAGGGCCTATGCACTGGTGAGTGTTGGTTTGTGTGGCTGCTTTACTGCCTTTGATCCCCGTTCCCACTCTCCTCACCCCACAGGCAGCCATTCGAACGTGTTTAATGGGAGTTCTTCTATTTCCATGTGTTCTTGTAAATTATGTATTGTGGCTTTGTGTGCATGGATTATTTATTTACATAAATGGTGTTGGGTTATAGATCTCATTCTGTTTCTTTTTTCCACTCAGCGCCGTGTTTAAAGATCTCTCCACTGCTATGTCATCTAGCCCATTGCTTCTTACTCCTGCCATGAACGCCCCACCAAGTTTACAACATACATGATATAATCTCCCCACTTTTTGACGTAACCAGTAACATACTAAATACACTCTCATGCAGACATTAAACATAAGCCTGGATATACAGTTATGTCGTGACTTGAGACGGAATGAGAGAGAATAGAAGTGTCGGCCAATATCATCATAATCCTAAAGAGGAAGGAGGACTGAGGCGATGGCAATGGGCTTGGGGACAAGGGAGGGGACAGCTGTGAGCAAAAAGAGAACCTGCTAACTTATTGAGCACTCTCTGAGTGCATGCGTTTTCTGTTTAATTACATCTACCCTATCAAGTAGGTATTATTATTCCCATTTTACAGATAAAGAAACTGGGGCTTGGAAAAGTTAAGTCTCTTGCATAAGGCTCACCTTGTAGGAGACAGAGCTGGGATTGGACTCAGGTTCTTTGAATCTACAGTTGGTGACCCAACCTTCGAATTATGCTTGCTCTCTTTGTGGGAATTTTCACCAAGAGTTGGGGTTTTATCTTTTGTTTGTATTTTAGTTTCTATTCACATTTCTCTCCTAGTGATCCTATTTCAAAGCCCACTTCGTTGGGGTGACTTTTAAGCGGTGCTATTTAAATAAAATTGGGGTGAGTTACAGTGGCCATCAAGTGCTACTCTCATCTCCCTTCAGGAATGGACTCCTTTCCCCAGCTGCTGAGAATGTGGCCTTCAGTGGTCCACCCCTATGGATTTCTTGGCCAAAGGAAGCTGCCTCCCCAAGGTTACCCCCTCTTCGTGGGGCAGCCCACACCCAGTGACTGATCAATGATGGTGCACAAAGGCCCAGTCCCCTTGCCCCAACTGAGGACAACTCTGAGAGGCCATCCCAGTCCAGAGCTCCCTGGGGGGTCAATTGAGGCCTTCGTTGGGACCACCTCCTTCTGCCCACTCCTGTTTCCTTCCTTCACTTTCAAAGGGAAATACCAAGCCCCTATCCCTCACCTCCCCTTCCACCCTCTACCATCCTACATTCTCAGTGGAGAGTCAACTGGGACCCTTCTCTCCTCACCTTCCCCGCCCATGTCTTAGGGTTCACTTCAGACCCTCGGGAGGTTGTCTCACCCCTGTGAACGTGGGCTAGATCCTTGGCTCCAAGTATGAGGGGCACCCTGACCAGGAGGAAGATCTCCAATAACACATTTCTGTCTTCTCGGAGTACGTCAACTCACTCTCACAGGGCCACACCCTCCTTACCAGGCTGCAGAAAACTTTCCAGGCCGCAGTGCAGCAGGGGTGGCCCCTGTAACTTGAGACGACCGGCAGTGATGGCTTTGGGCCATTACAATATTTTTTGTCTTGGAAAGAATACTTGAAAATTACAAAAATTATGCCATTTCCATCTCATGCCAGAAGCACCCAAATTGCGTTTTAATCACTTTACAGAGGAAGCCCTGATACTTGGCGTGGAGACTCAGATGTGTCTGGTTTTAATCAAGGCGTGTGCTGTTTTCCAGTTCCCTCACATCGGACTGACGCAAAAGACACCAGAATCCATCACAAGTGCTATGTTAAAAAAGCCCCAAGGTCCACGTTTGTCTTGGCAAGTGGACGGGAAGCTACCGCCAATCTACAAAGTCCGGGAGAAGGTGAGTCCAGAGTGCTGGCCATGGCCACATGCTCCCGTGGCTCTCCAAGGGGGCTGTACCACGGGCGTTTTTGGCCAGACAATTCTTCCTTGGAAGGAACTGCTCATTTACCATCCCTGGATCCTTAAATGCTGGCAGTATCCCCACCTCACACCCTGGTCACTGTGACATCCCAAATACTCTCTAAAAGGAACTACCTCCTGGTCCAGACAATCAAGTTAGATGTCTATGGATGAGCAGCAACGCCTTTGGTTACAGCTCACGGTTCATTAACACCCACGTTCTGCCTCCCCAGGCAATTCATGAGCAACTTCAGGGGCGTGAAGTGGCCTGAAAGAGAGGCAGGTGTTGACTTCACTTGGCTGACTCACTCTGCCACCCTGGGCCAGGGCTCTGGTCTTCTAGGATCCTTATTGGTCAGATGAAGAAGTTGGCCTAGATGGCCTCCAAAGTCCTTTGCTGCTGTCAATTCCATGAACTTATAAACTTTTCCTTCTTTCTTTCCAAAGAAGACGTTTTGAAAGGGAATTTTTGTGATTTTCAACAAGTTGGCAATAGGTTGTGTTTGAAAGCCTTGAGTTGATGAGCATACCTGTGGCCTCACTGTCTGTGCTGTTTGCTCCTCTCTGGTGACGAGTTTAATTCTTACTTGGAGGTCACTTTGCCTCTTTCGTCTTCCTTCCATGCCACTGTATGTGGGTTCTGAAAGCATACTGGGTTCTGATGTGTGTCTTTTCATCTTTCCCCTCGATCTTTTCCAGCAAGCAGTAAATAACAACTTCCCCTTCTCTGTACACGACAATCGGCACAGCTTTCAGAACTCTGGGTACTACCTCGACTCCGTGAGTATTTCTCTCCAAATTGCTAACAAAACGGGGAGCAACATCAGGGCTCTTGATTCTCTGAGGCGCGTTAAAGATTGAAGACTTTGCTCAAAATTGGAACAAGGCCAAAATTAAAGCCTCGTAACAGGTTAAAAAAATGTACGCAGCTCTCAAGGTTCCAGGCCGCTTTCCCAGTCTGCTCCAGCCTTCCAACTCTGATTTTGTGCTCTCTGTACTTCTCCCAGCGCATTCCCTGTAAACGGTCTCATTTGTGAGCCTCCTTGTGAAGATCTGCCATAGCAGGGAGGGATTGCCCATGTGTGTCTCTGGATGGCACAGCCGGGGCCCACAAGGAGGAGTCAAGGGAGCGGGAGCTTACATAACATAAAGAAGGACTTCCTGCTACCTGCAGTAGTCTTCCCTCTAGAGGTGGTGAGCTCCCCATCATTGGGGAAAATAAAGTCTGATAGCACTTGTTAGTGGTGGTTAACACAGCACTGTGCAGTGGAAATATATCTTGAGCCATATATGTGATTTTAAATTTTCTAGTAACCACATGAAGTAAAAAGAAACAAGTGAGATTAATTTTAATAATATATTTTATATAACCCAATAATTCCCTAAGTTATCAATTCAACATGTAATCAGTATAAAAATTATTAACGAGATATTTTACATTCCCCAAACTAAGTCTTTAAAATTCAGTTTATATTTTACACTATGGTACCTCTCAATTGGGGAGATCCGCATTTCAAGGCACGTGCGGCTGGGGGCTATCAAACTGGACAGGGCAGGGCTAACATATCTTAGGTAAAAAGTTGTATCAGGTGATCTCTGAGAATCCTTATTGAACGTGAAAGTCCGTGATGGGTGATGGTGATGATGATGATGTTAATAATACCCACCATTTATTGAGCATTTGCCATATGCTAGCATATTAGCTCATTTAATCCTCACAACAATTAATTACAATTGTTGAAATTACAACAATTAAACCTACTGGTTAATTACTCTTATTATCCTCAGTTTAAGAGACAAGGAACCGGAGAACCAGTGAAGTTAAACAGCTTGCCCGAAGTTACTCTTTCCTCTAGGCTATAATATCTCTGCTAAATTGAAGTGGTTTAACCTAAAAAATCTGGTTTGCCCCTGGCAAAGTGTTAAATAAAGAAGCAGAATATCCACTCCGACTGCCTCTCTGACAGAAATGTTTAATATGGTTTTCTAAATTACCTAAATAATATAGGTCCTTTAAAAATTTCAAATAATACAGAATTATATAAAATGAAAAAAAATAAAATTGGCACTCTTATTTTCCCTTCTTACAATCTCACTTTGATGATTCACTAATAATGGTTTGGTAGGTAAAATTTGAGAATTTTTGCAATTCACATGCAAACATACACACATAATTGTACATCCTGTCAATGATATAAACAGGATTGTACCACATATATTTTACCAGAGCTATGCCGGTCTCATAGAAAGTTTCTCTATGGAAGCTTTCCAACTTTCTCTATATTCTGGAATAGTTTACATAACATGTGGATTTTCAGTTTAATGAAGTTAGATAGAATTTGCCCATAAGATTATTTGGGTTTGATATCTTTTTTAGAGTCTTTTTTTACTACCTTTTCAATTTCCCCCTTGATTATTAATCTATCCAAACTTTCTATCTCTTCTTGAGTAGATTTTGCTGATAATGTGTTTGCCTAAAATTTATCTAGTTCATTTCAAATTTATTGGTATAGTATCTCTTAAAATACTCTTATTTGCTGTTCTTTTTAATCTTTTTCAGTTGCATGTTTAGTTCAAATACTTGCAACTGTTTTTGTTAATAAATTCATTCAAACTACAAATATGCCTCAGATTATTGCTTTTGGCTATGTCCCAACGGTTTTTCTAACTAGGGCCTCATTATTTGCTTCCAAATAGTTTATGATTTAATTTTTAATTTTTCTTTTAACTAAAAATAATTTAGAACAATGTTTTGAATTTTCTATATAGTTAGAATTTTTTAAGATCATCCTTTTGTTGCTAATATCTAGTTTTATGGGTTATAGTAAATTTTATAGAATATGTTCTGTGATTTCTACTTTTTGTATTATAAGGATTATCTTTGTTACCTTGTACATGATTAATTTTAACAAGTGTTTCATGGGTGTTTAAAAAGAATATATATTCCCCATCCGTTGGTTTCCAAGTTCTTTATACTTATTAATTCAGGACTGTTAATTATGTTATTCAAATTCTTCATACCTTTTTCTTAATTTTTGTCTTGATTTGTCATTTTTTCCTTCTAAGATTATTCTTGAGTTTCTAAATTTTTTTGCCTTACATAGTTTAATACCATATCTTTCTGCATAAAAATTCATGAATATTTTATTTCTTGGTGGCTTTTGTTATTTATCAATATTAAGTATCCCTCCTTATATGCTTTGATGCTCCTAGCCATGAATTCTACATTGTGATATTAGTTTTGCCACTATTGCTTTCTTTTTGCTAACATTTGTTCCTTATGTCATGGTCCATTCCTTTTTGTTTATACTTTTTAGTCATTTTCTTTTGGGTTTATTTTTTTTTTTACTGTAAATAGAATAGAACATGGTGTTTAAAAAAATCCAAGGGTCATTGTTTCTTTTCTTTTTTTTTGTGAGGAAGACCAGCCCTGAGATAACATCCAATGCCAATCCTCCTCTTTTTGCTGAGGAAGATTGGCCCTGGGCTAACATCAGTGCCCATCTTCCTCTACTTTATATATGGGACACTGCCACAGCATGCCTTGACAAGCAGTACGTCGGTGTGCGCCTGGGATCCAAACCTTCGATCCCCGGGCCACCGAAGTGGAGCAAGTGAACTTAATCTCTGTGCCACCGGGCCGGCCCCAAGTCATTGTTTCTTTATATGAGAATTTAACCCATTCATGTTATTATGATAAATTATGTTTTGGGTTTATTTCTGCTATCTTATTTTATCTTTCCTATTTATTATGTTTCCCTGTTGTTTGTTTTTTTTCTCCCTCTATTATCTTTGCCAGATTGAATTTATTTGCTCATTCTGACTTCTATTGATCTCCTGCTAGTGGTTACCCTTAAGTATGAACGTTTAAGAACTATGTTAACATGATATTACTCCATGTGTGTAAAAATTAATATCTATAGCTTTTCCCCAAGAATAAGGCTGGTCCTTCAGGGTGCTCCAGCTCCCCCACTTCCTTTTCCAGGGGGTCTGGTGGCAGTGGTCAGGCTGTGCTCTCCCAGCTCATGGAGGCACCGTTCTCACTGGATAAGGTTCAGTGGTGCCTCCTGAAGTTCAAAGCAGTGGCCCTGACTTCCCTAGTCAGGTTGAAATCTTGGAATTGCAGTTCCAGATTGGTTCTTTCTCTCTCTCTCAACCTTCTTTCCTCTCCCCTTCCTTCCTTTCTTTCTTTTTGTGGATTCTTAAAGTTTCAATATATTTCATAGTCACGTGATCAGCAAGCATTGAGACTGAGTTACAAGCTTTACTTGTTACTTCCCTTGTAGCTCTTTCCCCTATTTGTTTTGTCCATTCGTTATATTTGTTTTTTGGTTTTTTCCTGACGTATCTGAAAGTAATGTGGGCAGAGTGAGCAGCATCTTCCATTTGTCCCTCCAGAGCTGCTCTCCTCTTTTTCTCTCTGCTCTGGCCCTGGGGGCTGATCTGTGTGGACTGTATTCCTCTCTGAGCCCCTGGCACCTGGACTCACTGCACCATCCTTGGGGTTTTCCCACATGTGTGTAAGTAGCCCCTTTATTAAACTTTCCTCAGATTATCCTAATTTGAGTGTGCCATCTGCTGCCACTCAGATTGATACTGACCCTTATGAAAAGACTACTCACTTTACTATACATACATTACTACATAATCCTAATGTCTATTTCCTTCTAGTCTTTTGTCTAAGCATAGTGTTTTCTTTTGTAGTTTTTGCCTAGTTATGATCAAATCAAAAGCACAATTTCGAATACATAGTAATTCTCGGGTCCACATGTAAGGTGCTGAGAATAAACGAGGAAGCCTGTGGGCAGAGACCCAAAGCTGCTGCTTCCTTCATGGGAAGCTCTGAGATGAGAAAGAGTCCAGCCTCTTCAGACTTCTCGGAGTAAGAACCGTCTATCCCACTGAGTGCCGGGGACGCAGTCCAGGATGGATATGCTGAGGAGCCACCTGGGTGCAGAGAACCTGCCCAGGGTCCCTGGGAGTCTAGGCTGGTTAATAGGCTGTTTCAGCTCTGTTCTCTCTGGTTCTGCCCTCGGTGTCTCTAGAAGTCCAGTCGCCTTGGTGAGAGTGGAAGGCTTCAAGAACAATAACAAACACTACCATGATGATGTTTTGAGTGTTGATTTACATCCTTGAACAGGTTAGAAAAGACACCTCTTGTAACAATTGTCATGCTGTGCATTTAAACATACGATGTCATGTAGCTGGTTTTGCTAAAGACTTCAGGACTGTGTAAACTTGAATATATTTCTCTAATCTTGTAATTCTTCTGCAGGGCCTGGGACATAGGAAGATCTCCCCAGAAAAAAGGCAACACGTTTCAAGAAATTTCAATCTTTGGGCATGTGACTATGTTCCGTCTTGTCTTGATGGCTTTTCAAATAACCAAATATCATATGTCTACCAGGAAGCTGCGGTGGTCCCAATTTTCAGACGCTTTCCAAGACATTATAATGAGATATGGAGCACTTTTAAATTTATTCCTGAGCGAAGCTATACAGAGTTTTTGAAAAAGAATCCAAAAGTAAGGTTCGCTATTGACAAAAAGACCGGTTCTCCACTGGAGCCCTAATCCTTCCAGAAGATTCTTGATGAGTTTTGTAATATTGGTATTTCTTTGGACATTCTAAAAGTATGTGTTTCTGACTCAGCACTACCATTTACCATAAGATTTGTTTAGCGTTAGAGATTAGAAGACTGTATACGCTTTAATGCTGAAGTGAAGTTTTCTTGCAATACTAACAGAGATTAAAATCTTTATATTGAGAAACCAGAAAGGAAACAGATTATGTTACCACTCTCCACTTTAAAAATATTTTTATGATTTTTAATGAGATTGAAAAACATTCAAGTCCTTATGAAACAAAGATATGTGGAGATATACACATTTTAAATTAATGTATTTTAAATGAAAACGTGTTTAAATGAATTTTAAAATTGCCACATTAGCTTCTGGGGAGAGGTAAAATTACATAATTAATATATGGTTACATTTTCATTTTGAAATTTCAAACAATACAGAGGAAGTAGGAGTCCCTCCTGATTTCACCACATCTCCAATCCTTGCCCTGTCCTCAGAAGTAAGTCCACCGTTTGTTTTTATTCTGTGCATTTACAATCATATAAATGCGCATAACTTAATAAACATTTTAAACATAAACTGTGGGGGCCGGCCCTGTGGCTTGGTGGTCAAGTGCGCGCGCTGCGATGCTGGTGGCCCGGGTTCGGATCCCGGGTGCGCATCGAGGCACCACTTCTCCGTCCATCCTGAGGCCGAGTCCCACATACAGCAACTAGAAGGATGTGCAGCTACGACATACAACTATCCACTGGGGCTTTGGGGGGAAAAAAAAAATAAATAAAATCTTTAAAAACAAAAAAGAAAAAAAAACCATAAACTGTGTTACACAGTACAGGATGTTCTATAACTTTCTTTTGATATTTCACAATGTATCTTGGAGTTCTTGCAGTGTCAGTATGAATAGACTGATTTGCTTTTTGAACTGGTACACTGTATTCCCTAATATGGATGTACTATGTTTTTAAAAATTATCTTTTTTTAATGAGCATTAGAATTATTTCTAATTTTTGGCTGTTAGACCTGGTGCTACTTGTACATGCTAGATCAACCTCTTAGGGTCCATGTTTACATGCGCTCTGGAGTAATCTCTGAAAAATTACCTTGCTAGTGTTAGATTGGATGTTATGCACAAAGTTTGAATAAATACTGCCAAATCACCTTTGAAAAAGATCGGACCAATTAAACTCGTACCAACAGTATCCATGAGTTTCTGTCCCCCAACCCCCAAATTATCTTTTAGATATTTAATGATATTTAGAGACAAAAAAATGGTATCCTGCTATTTTCTTATTGAGCATTTCTCTGATTACTAGTGAAGCTGAGCATCTTTTCCCACTCAGTGGCCATTTACATTTCCTGTCTATATAAATTGAGCAGTGTCACCATCATTCTATACCAAAATTTTCATGTTTATATTTGGGTATTTTTCCTATACATGAATTTTAGAATAAACTTGTCAAGTAAATCTATTGGCAATTTGATAGGAATTTCACTGAATTTAGATATTAATTTATGGGAGAATTGACATCTTTATACCATGGTGTATCTCCCCATTTATTCAAATCTTATTTTATGTTTTTCAGTAAAGTTTTATGTTTTCTTCACATAGATTTGAAATGTTTCTATGTTTATTCTTGCATATTTTGAAATTTTGTGGCTATTTTCAACTTTTTTTTTTTAACTTATACTCTTAGGTTGGTTTTGCCTGATGCATATAAAAGCTATTGATTTCTTTGTGTGAATCTTGTATGTGACCACCTGGCTAAACTTCTAATAAATAAATGAATAAGTATTTTAATAAAATAAAAATAAACTTCTAATAATTTTTCAGTGGATTCTCTTGGATTTTCTATGTAGGTGATTATATCATTTGGGAAAGTGATGATTTTATATCATTTCTAACATTTATACCTTCCCCTCATCTTATTGCATCCATTTGAATATTAGTACAGATAGTGCATATCCTTATTTATTTATTTATTTTTTTTGCGGGGAAAGATTCACTCTGAGCTAACATCTGTTGCCAATCTTTCTCTTTTTCTTTTTCCTCCCCAAAGCTCCAGTATATAGTTGTATATTCTAGTTGTAAGTCCTTCTAGTTCTTCTGCGTGAGTGCCACTACAGCGTGGCTACTAACAGTAAACCCGGGCTGCCTATGTGCAGCAAGCCAAACTTTAACCACTAGGCCATCAGGGCTGGCTCTGATTTCTGAATTTAATAGGGCTGCTTTCAATGTGTCACTCTGAAGTCTGACTTTCATTGTAGATTTCAGATAAATAAATTTTATCTAGTTAAGAATGTTCTCTTATATTCTTAGTTTCCTATTTTTCCTGTAAAATATATTTTTAAGTATATGCACGTGGGAAAAATTTCAAAGAAAATAAAAATAAGCAGTGAAAAATGATTTTCCTCACCTCCCTGACTTCCAGTCCCCATTTGCTCTCCCAGAGCCAGCCTTACTGATGATCTTTCATGTGCATCGTTTTCCAGGTAGTCCGTGCACAGACTCCTTCTCTCTCTCGCCGTCACTCACGCACCCTTAACAAACGTGTGGTAGACACCACTCCACTGTTGCTTTCTGCCACTCCACTACCAGCTACACTTATGAATATGTCTTCGAAGTTTCAAAGTTAATCCGCATCACTACTTATAAATCCACTTACTAAAAACAAAAAACCATGGCTGGCTGGTATTTCATTACATGGATGTGTCATAGTCCCTGTAATCTTTTGATGGCCATTTAGGCAGTTTTCGGTCTTTACCTACTATAAACAATCTGGAATAAACATCTTGATAGAGAAAATATTTGCATTCACCTACGAGTATTTCTATGTAATAAACTCATAAAAATAAACTTGTTCAACAAAAGAGTATGTGGATTTCAAATTTTAATTCATACTGTCAAATTTTCTAAAAAAAGCTTCGCTCCAGCTTACAATTTCACTAAGAAGATATGAGACGTGAGAGCTCCTATTTTCCCACACCCTTGCATTATCAAACTTTATTACATTGGCCAATTTGTTAGCTAAAAAATGGTATTGCATTTTAATTTGCCTCTCTCTCATCGTGCGTGTGTGTCGCTATTGAAACGCCATTTGTGTTGCTTTTGCTATGAACTGTTTATCTGTGTCTTGCACTAAGTTTTCTATTGGTTTGTTTGTCTTATTCTTTAATCATTTTTATAATTTCTTGATATACTAAGATATTAAACCTTTTGTATCAAATGTGTTGTGTTTTATCTAGTTTGTTGGTTTTTGTTCCTCTTTGTGACCATATATATATATTTTAATTAATAGACTATTTCTTAGAGCAGTTTTAGATTTTCAGAAAAATTGAGTGGAAAGCACTCAATTCCCTTATCCTCACTCTCTCTCATCCCCACCCCCCACAGTTTCCCCTGTTATTAACATCTTGCATTATATTTTAATGTGGTAAAATGTATGAATCTCTTATTTAATGACTTCTGGATTTCATGCCTTGCTTAGGACCTCTTTTGTTTGAAATTATTAAATAATTCTAAGAGTTTTTTGCTGTAGTTCTTGTTAATGTATGGGGTGACATTATAGCAAATAATATTTTGGCATTTATTGAGATGATCATATAAATTTTCTATACTAATCTGCTAATGTAATATAGTATACGAATGGATTTTCTAATGTTGAGCCATTCTAGCATTCTGAGGACAAAGTCTAGTTGGTTATGATGTATTATTCTTTTGATAAATTCAGGATTCAATATGCAAGTATTTTATTTAGGATTTTACAATCTATGTTTACTATGCCCTGACACTGCTTCTGTAAATTGCAAATATCTATAGAATTTGCCCTGAAATCTCCCGGACCTGGTGCTGTTTTCAGGTGCAGGTCTTTGAACATCTTTTCAATGTATTTTATGAAGGTTGGTCTGTATGGAGCTTTTCTTTCTTTCTTCCCTTTTTCCTCTAATTTTGGTCGTTTTTATTTTTAGAGGAAGTTATCTGTTTTATGTGGATTTTTGTTGCTGCTGTTTGCTTTTTTTTTTTTTTTTAAAGATTTATTTATTTATTTTCCCCCCAAAGCCCCAGTAGATAGTTGTATGTCCTAGTTGCACAGCCTTCTAGTTGCCGTATGTGGGACGCAGCCTCAGCGTGGCCGGAGAAGTGGTGCGTCGGTGTGCGCCCGGGATCCGAACCCGGGCCGCCAGCATCAGAGAGCACGCACTTAACCGCTAAGCCACAGGGCCGGCCCTGCTGTTTGCTTTTGATCTCACTAATTTATACTTTCATGTTTACTAATTCTATTCTTGGGCTTATTTTGATTTTCTTTTTCTAGTTTTTCAAGGTGAAAGCGTAACTCAATTGTTGGCAGCCTTTCCTGTTTTCTTGTGAGGCTATTTCTTTCAAATGCCACTTGGTAGATACATCATGCTTCTCTTCTTCTTGTTCGTTTTGAAGCAGCTTGTAATTGTTTTCTTTTTCAATCTAAGAATGGTTAAGAAGGGTATTTTCTAATTTATTCTTTTGTTGTTATTTTTCACTCTCCATATTATATTAATTGATTAAATAATTTCTGCGTTTTGGTCGGTGATTAAAGACCTGTATGATTTCTGCTTATTGAACATTTAAAAATTTTTTTTGGCTTAACACACGGTCAGTTTTTGTGACTGTTCTACATGTATTTGAAAGGGACGTGCAAACTCCCTTTTTAAAAACTTTTTTATTTTGAAATAATTATAAATTCATAGAAAGTTGTTAAAAAAAAATTAGTACAGAAGAGGTTCTTCATCCCCTTCCCCCACTTTTCCCTGGTGGTGACATCTGCCATAACTAGAGTACCACAGTCTATTAGTTTTCCATTGCTGTGCAGCAAATTACCATAAACTTAGTGACTTGAAACAACACCCATTTATTAGCTCACGGCTCTGTAGGTCAGAAGCCTGGGCACACATGGCTGGGTTCTCTGCTCAGGGTCTCAGGCTAAAATCAGGAGTCCACCATACTGCACCCTCCTCTGAGGCTTGGGTTCTCTTTCAAGTCCACGTGGTTGTGGCAGAATTCAGTTTCTTGAGCTTGTAGGACCGAGATACCTGCTCCCTGGTTGGCTATCAGCTGGGGCCGTTCTTGGCTCCTAGAAGTTGCTGCTTTCCTTGCTACATGGCCCCCTCCAGCTCCAAAGCCGGCAATGGAGTTTGAATCCCTCTCACATTTTGTGATTTCTCTCGCAAGGAGAGTCTAGTGC